AATTTGTGCTGATAAATAAATAAAGGGAGACTAGTATAGATCTATTTCAAGCTATTTAGCTCTCATCAGCTAGCTAATCAAATCCCAGTAAGGGTATGGCTAGCTGATGAGAGCTAAATAGCTTGAAATAGATCTATACTAGTCTCCCTTTATTTATTTATCAGCACAAATGTTATATATATTAGGCCTAATGACTAAGATGTTTGCCTAGTATGTAATATAGCCCAGGTTGCTAGGTTTTTTTGGAGAAAAGAATTTACAAGAGTAATGGGGACTTTGAGAAAAGAATCCACTAAGAGTGCTGACTTCAACTACTGAGAACCTGCTGACTTGATGTTAGCTTATTTATGATTTATTTAACCTTATTTAACCTTTTCAATGTTGAAGACTATATGACATTTATAATTTACCAAAAGTTGTTGGACTTTTATTGCAAGCAGAATGTTTTGAGTTTAGAACTGAATTCTGGCTTCAGATTTAATAGCTGGCTAACAAATGGGCAAAGCTTACACAAAAAAATATACGGCTGTTTAATTCCCATGTTTAAGTTTGGAAAATTCTCTTATTATTTGTTAGCAAATGTTAGCATGTAGTAGACTATGTCCAGTATTCTTTTTAATGAGGAAAGACTTCAGGCTAAAATACAGTTTTAAAAGCTGAGACTTAGCATTTTGCCATATCCAAATTCTGTCCCACAGAGCATAATTTCAAAACAAAAATAATATGATTTCACGGCATAATGTGAATGTTACTTAGGCATCTGCTGTCGTGTTTTCGGTAGAAGAGTCAATTGAATAGAATTGTTGGGAGCGGCTGCCTTTAGATGAGAGGGCTAAAGATAGTTAATGATGATTTATTTTTCTCCCCTAGATTAATCTTTCTGCTTCTCCTACACCTGCACAGCTAATAAGCCGTTCACAGACCTCCAACACTAGTAGCAGCAGTCTTACGCAGCAGACGATGCTGTTAGGGAGCACCTCTCCTAATCTGACTGCCAGTCAGGCTCAGATGTATCTCCGAGCTCAGATGGTAAGTCTTGCAGATTTAATGTTACCCTTTCTGGCGTTTTTGTCCTCTCCTGTCTCTATGTACGGCTTTTGGCTGCGTGTTGCAAGTGTTCTGACCTAGGCTCCCCCAGCAGCACAAAGCTGAGTCCTTCTCCTGATAAACCCCTTTTATTTAATTTACAGTGAATTCCTCTCCAGCAAAGTCTTTCCTCTCTCACGGTCTTTCAAGACAGTTCACAATTACCGACCTTTATCAGGCTTGGAGGGTGGCCACGCCGATATCCTTCAGACGCCGCAGTACTTGGCAAGAATGCAGGAATGAACTAATTGTCTCCTGCAAACACTCCTCCCTTTCATTCCTCTTTTATTCCCTATGGGAGGGG